GCACTCTGTTCACCACCGCGGGGACTCGAACCATCAGGTTTTAGCGTTGTAATTCAGTAAATTTACTGCTAACACACCTGGGTGGTGGTGGTGGGGGATCTAAATATCTTAAAAAATTACAAGATAACCCAAAAAAGAATAAACAGACAAACAAAAACGACAATATACCAAACTATTGTTTACCTTTTTGTTTTGGTAGCTCTTTCGCAGTAGTTACATCTATTACCCTACAGGTATGCAAACCTATAAAGAGCTTTGTATTTAAGCACAAAGCTACATTGGGGGCGTTATAAAGAGACCCTAATAAAAAATATAACAAAACTCCTAAAATCTTACAAAATGAATTGGTTTTATATATGTTTAACTATGCGTAACTAAGACTCTCGTTTTAAAGTATATAATAAATATAAACATATTATAAAACATCTTATTACTGAAAATTGTAGCCAAAGAAATAATACAATTAAATTCAAATTTAAAATTCGTCTTAGTTTTTTTCTTTTTACGTTTAAATTTCCTTGTACAACATTTTCGCATTTCAAACTTTCCTGTAAATCGGCTTTGTCAAGCAGGGGAAAAAAGCTTAAGTCTCTCTTAAATTATCTCGAAAACCTTTTATTTGTTTTGATAACAATTAGTGCGAGTAGTTTTATGTATCGCCATCTAGTGATGAAAATATATGCAAAATAACATTTTATACTTAATTTTTCATTAAACGAATAGTAGTTGAATAATATGAATGATGTGGAAATATTACAAATTAGGTAAGTATAATACAAAAAACAATTCAGAGCGACAACAAAATATTATGTTTTATGGAGTAACATACCCATAGAGCTTCTGAGACAATTTGATCCTCGTCAAAGTTTACATCATTTGTAATTTCATGAAACACGTGCCTTAAAAACTATAAAATGTACTCCTTTTATAGATCATAACATATTGTTTAATATTTGTCTCCTCCTATTAAACCCCAAATTACCACGAACGACAGACAAATCAAACATCAAGTGATAGAGTAAATACGACTATACAGTCCAGATTAAAATGTTAAAAATTGCTACAAAAAATCACTTAGAACTTTTATCGTATATATAATATTACAAAATATATCTGTTGAACGAATTGTTTTGTAGTGTAATCTACTTTGTAGGCTATTACCTATTTTTGCCTGAAACATTGTCATCCTTTTGTTACGTCTCACTATTATCAGAAATAAACACATATACCATAGTCAATATAGAAATAATGTCACCAATTTCTCAAACCTCAATTAAAAATACAATCTACTCCATTATCCTCTATTTTCACAACTTTACTCTATTTTTAACAATTACAAACATACCACTATTCAGTTGTCTTACATATAATACCAAAAATATTATTACCCCATAATGTACATTAACAAAAAAGGCACTTTCGGGTATCATAAGGCAAGCCTTTTTTAGGGAGAAAGGGATGTTAAAGGAGACTACTGGAACTATGGATTGCCTCTGGTACACATAGGGTAAAAATTCATATAAATCAAACAGATCCTCTTATATTCTTACTAGCAAAAATACCCACCCTCCAGGCAGGTATAACTGCTAGTTCCTGCGGAAGGCTATTCGGCATGCGGCCTTTTCTGGAACTGTCTGACATTCTACAACAATGTACTCATACTTTACATTCTTTTGTTCTTTGCTTGTAATTATGCACAAAGCTACACAATGGGCTATCTATGCTCTGCCCACCACGGGTATCGAAACCCGGATTCTAGCGATTTAAGTAAGTAGACATACCGCTATGCCACTTGCCATTCAATAATTTTCACCATCCACGAGAAAAATGATTTTATTGAAATTTTAATTTAAAAAATGAGCTATCATCACAGCATTACATTACAGAGTACATTTTATTGAAGTATTTCTTTGTAGATGCAGTTATCAATGAAAGTGTCTTGCTTTTCTGTTGCAACACTCATGAGATTTTCACAAAAGAAAAACATTTTTTTAAGTTAGTTTTCTGATTGTTTTATATTTGAAACTTACTCCTTTTTGTTTGTAATTTCAATTGTTTTATTTATTGCTCAGCTATAAAAATACTGCCCAGTTATAAAAATATTACCCAGCTATGATTGGTGATGATCGGTGAGGTAGTTTCCGATATCCAAGTTTTGGACGTATACCGTATTTTTCGGTGTATAAAACGCACTTTTTTTTACCCCAAAATTTGATGTGAAAATCTGCTTGCGTCCTATACACCGAAGGTATGAATAATATTTATGTATATATACGATATACACAAGCCATGTGTACATATATTTAAATAGGCATGCATAGTTTAGTTCAATTGAATGTGTTATTTATAACAATAGTAGTTTTTTTTTTGTCTTTTAAAAACATAACTATTTATAATGCTCCCTAAATAATAAAAAATTACAGTGAAAGCAATGAAGATTTTGTAGGTTTTGAACCAAACTAAATAACAGTAAACTTTTTTTTTGATTTACGGTTCTATTTCCTATTTTGATGTTTTGAACTCTTTTGTGTTTAGAACAATATATACTAATTTTTAAAGTATCAAATTGAATTTTTGTTCAATAAAAATCTTTCAAATGCGACTGTAGCTTTTTCCCCCCAAAACTTTGTCTTCAAAATAAGGGTGCGTCTTATATTCCGAAAAATACGGTACGTCACAAGCTCCATTATTATAAGGATTGTTGTTATTATCTTTGCGAATTTAGCTGAGAATTTATTGAACTCTACAGAAACGTTGTCGTATTCGTATTGTTACTAAACCTAAATCTTTGAATATCCGAACAACTTTGTTTTTAAGACAAATATATTTGTAATATACATGAATGTCTTTAAAAAAAAAACACGAAAAAGGGCTACGTCTAAAAAATGAAATAGAAATTAAAAACAAATTTCATTCTTTGTTTGTTTTAAGCGCATAACTACATAATGGGCTATTCTGCTGTACTTGCCAAATTTTAGTATTATAAATCCTTAAGCTTACCATTCAGTCACCTGGGGGCATGTAAGAGAATTGTTTGCTTGTTTGTTCGTTAAATTTCGCACAAAGTTACTAGAGGGCTATCTGCGCTTTCCGTCCCTGACCTTGAAGTAATAGACTAGAGAGAAAATAGTTAGTGAACACTACCCACTGCCAACTCTTGGGCTACTATAATCGAATAATAGGATTTGACCGTCACTCTTATAATGCACTTACGACTCCTAAGTGCAGAGCGTGATTTTGTTTGGGAATAAGTTGAGTTCTTATGAGTAGAATATAACAACAGATCACTAATGTTATACCATAAAATCTTGTTTTGAGCTTTAACGGTTTTAAAATAAAATTCGAAAGCAATAAGGTCACATAAAATAACGAGCAAAAGAGATATGATCAGTAATGTATTTCAATAGAAAAAACAAGATCTTATTGTTATCTTATATATTTTCTGTTGAGCCGTTATAAAAACAAGAATAGAAATGGTCTATAGTTTTTGAACTATAATGGAATAAAGTGCCTGTGTTTAATTTTCCCTTAAATTTGAAAA